TCTTCATCATTTAAGAAGACGAAGAAGCTTAACTTTATAGGTAGGTGATTATATAGATGAATTAAATATTACATATTATAAACTAACAATTTAATAGTAAGATATATCAAATATTTAAGCAATGATTGTAGAGAGCATGACCCATCTATTCTTCTCCTGCACATTTGCACAACAATGCTGGCAGCAAATAGGCATTCAGTGAAATCTAGCGCTGGAGCTCATGAACATGATTACAACAGCTAAGTATCTTTTCATCTCAACTTCTTCTTTGAAGCTCAGGCGATTGGTTGTTGGCACATCTGGTGTAGAAGGAATGATTTTATTTTCAACAATGTGACTATCAGTTTAGTCAAGTGGAAATCAGAGTTCAAGAAGGATTTTGCTCTGCATATGCACAGAGTAAAAAAGCAGACAAACCCATCCTGCAATCATGGATTGATTCTCTCTCTCTTAATTGTTTTGTATTTTTGTAAATATTGTAAACCTTTTATTTATTATTAATATAGCGCAGTAGGAGCCTCTCCTGCTCCTGCTGTTTCACGTAAAAAAAATCATTTAAGAAGACGTAAATCTTTAGGTTTAAATTTTAAGTCTAAATTAAAAAGTAAGGTATTGTTTTTCTTTTTAATTGAATGTTTTGGGCTCTTATTTTTAACAAATCTAAATAAAGGTTACTGCTAATAGATGTGTTTTATTCCTTGTTTTAATTGGTTCACATCTAACGCAATTTGTTATACGTACTTACCTATCAATCAATAAAAATAGAGTAGATATATTCTAGACCTCGCTGCCTATAATATGTGTGATCTATATTTTTCTTAAATACATTTAGTCAACCCGAATGTTAAAACTCAAATTTAATAGTAAGAAATATAATATTAAAACCAACTATCTACTGCTATAGCATAGAATTCCCTAGCATAGAATAGAGGGAAGTCTATTCATACGTAGTCACTTAAAAACGCAGTGGTTCTTTCCGTAAAAGATCTAACCAGTAAAACAAATTATATATAACAAGGGCTGAAATGAAAAAATTATGTTGGCCCAATGAAGAGACGGCGCACCGTAGGCAACTAGAGATACGTGGTTATACTTAAGCCTGGTTTAGTTGAGGAAAATTTTTAGATTTGATTGTTATATTAGATATATTAGACATATATTTGAAGTATTAAACGTAGTATAGTAACAAAATAAATTATAGATTCCGCCAGGAAACTGCGAGACGAATTTATTAAGCCTAATTAATCCGTCATTAGCACCACATTGTTAAATCGTGGCGCAATTAGGCTTAAAAGATTCGTCTCGCAATTTCCTAGCGAACTGTGTAATTGGTTTTTTTCTACATATAATATTCTATGCATGTGTCCAAATATTCGATTGTGACAGTGTAAAAAATTATGTTTGGGAACTACTTAGATGTTTACTTGACAAAAACATAAAATTAAAACCGAAACATAAAACTAAAACCGATTCAAACACAGGCTATGTTTAGTTACAAAATTTTTCTTCCAACTTCCAAATTTTCCATTACATCAAAGGTTTCCTACACAGACAAACTTCCAACTTTTCCTATCACATCGTTCCAATTTTAACCAAACTTTTAATTTTGGCGTGAAGTAAACGCAGCCACATATGACTAGCGGAAACATCTTCAATTTTTATAATTGTAGAGATTTAGTCTAACTTAAAAAACTTTAATTAGAAAAAAATTTAAAAAGACTTTTTATGTGAATAAAACTAAGGGAGTACTTGCTCTGTGGCGGTGGCACCGTACGAGGTACCCAACTTTTTCTTCCACGGAACATAAGAAAACAGCGTACATATCATGCGTATGGTACACACGCACACATCTTTTTGAGGTGAATTTTTTTTTGAGGTGGACAAATGCACACATCTGCCGAGCCTGCAATTAGCGTACGGTACACAAGCCATTAAGGCAAGGTTTCCGGGCAAGCTAGTACCGCGATGAAAAACACAAGCGATTAGGCCAATGTTTCCGGGCAAGCAGAGGCCGTGGCTTGCAGTACTAGTGCCAGTGGGTGCAAGGTGATCAATCGATCCTAGGCTCAATACTCTGAACGGTAGTCTAGCTGCCACGGCTGCAGCTAGAGTCGTCATCCGAAAATCTGAAAAGAACGGACCCTGAATCAATTCCACCGGCAATCGACCGGCAAATGATCACTATCGTTGAGTTTAATTACAAACGTCGGGGAATAGCAGTGAACGTAACCTTCCTATACGGTTTACAAGAGTATTTATAGAAGATAAAAGAAAAAATAACTAACAGGAAAAGGCATCAAGTCCTACTCGAAAATTAATCTGAATATAGTGTAGACCTAAATTCGGATCACATATTTAACAATCGCTACCTTGAGACGAATTTTCTCTTATAGCATAAAAATTATCAATCACCAAAATACCTCATGTAGGCAAAATCACCATGCGCCAAATAGTATGTAGAATTAAAGTATTAGAAAAGTTTTGGATGGATTAATTTGAACAAAATCATAGCGAAATGATTAATCACAAGTTAATGCCAAAAACCGAACAATCTCTATCTCCACTATTATAAAAATTAAAGATGTTTTTGCTGGTACTTTGTTTGGTTGTTTGTTTGTTTGCCGGTATTATAAAAATCTCTATCCCATGTATTTTTGTTTGTTTGTTTTTACACTAAAATGCGACATAAGCGACATGTTAATGACACGTGGGATGAAGACCGGGTCAACACTCCCACGTAGGCGCCACGTCAGCCAAAACCGCTTCCAATACCACTAAGAAATATATTTTGCATTGGTTTTGATAGTTGGAGGAGTCGATATACCCGGTTTTTTGTTTGGAGGTTTTAAGTCATACTTGGACCATAGTTGAGGGAGTCGAAGTATACTTTTTCCACAAGTCTGTTCCCTCGCTCATCTCTTTGGGCCATCTTATATTTCTAGAATAAGTCTATTCTGCATCCCTATTCTCTTTTATCATGCCCTGAATTAAGTCTGTTTTGAATCCCTCGACCATATTTTTCTTTCGTGCTCATTGGTTCGTGTCATGCCGGGCCAGTCCACCATGCCAAGGCATCAACCCAGACACGGCCCAACTATCGGGCTAGGCCGGCATGGGCTCGACACCAGTCATGGCATGCCATGCTTAGACCGGGCCAAATAGCCATGCTATGGGCCGGGCCGTCTAGCCTAGCTTCGGGCCTTATGGCCATCTATATGACGTGCTAGTCTGCCGCATCAAGAGTGAGGCAACGTCAATGTGGGTGCCTACACACAAGCGAGGAGTTAGGGTCTGTCCTTTAGCCTTCCCGTTTAAAATTTTACACCGTGATGGTACTCATGAGGAAATTAAATTTGAAAATATACCGTTCATATCTTTTTTTTCTTAAAAATATCCTAGATGCAAATCTTTGGACACAAATATACCGTTGGTCTTGCTGAACCGTTGTGCAAAATTGACGTGGGATGAAGATGCAGACAGTCTTGTAGAGGGGCAGCGTGAGACCGCGCGGTGTCGAGCGACGAGCGTGTCAAACCGCGAGCATTCTCGTGCAACAAGTCTACGAAAGTGTTTCGAAAATTAAAGGCAAAATTTGCTCTTGGACACTCGAAAAATATGGTCTTTGCTGAGGAACACCATAAGAACGTGTATTTGCTTGAGGACACTTAAAAAACATGGTAATTTGTTGATAGATACTTATACGTATTATTTTATAATTTTTCGCTATTACAGAGAGAGAATTTTCACAAAATGACACTTTTGCCCCTGAGACCAATCTTCGTCGACGGGGATCAAATCCGGTCGACTCAGCACCAAAACCGGCCTCGCTGCCCGTCGCTTTGTCCACCCCCGCCATCTTCCACAGCAGTTCGTCACGGTGTGTTCTCCCCGCGGGCGACAACTCCATCCATTCATTCACAACAAAGAGCAGCAGCAAGTGGAAAGTCGTCCGTCTGCCCATCGCGACGGCGTCCTTGCCACCGCCGCTCGGCGCCTCGTCCTTCAATCATTCGTCCGCGACCCATCCTCGATGTCCAATGCCACGAGCCGTCGCCAGCCTGTGAAGTAACAGCAACAGGAGTAGCATTTTTGTCTCTGTTTATGAAGCAACAGCAGCTGCGAAGCCAACATCCTCGCCGGCGGCAACCCCATCCGTTTGTTCAAAGGCTCGCAACAGCAGCAGCAGCAAGCTAACTTCAAGCTCGCAGCAAACAAAGAGCAGCGGTAAGCCATCAAACCTCGTCGGTTCTCAGCCGTTGTCCTCTGCCGCGAGATCCAACCATCCGTCTCGGTCGCGGCTCGTCGTGGATCTGCAGTCCTCGTCGACGGTCGTGACGCTGCCCCTCGTCACCGCCCGTCGCGGTTGCCCCTCATCGTTGCTCACGGCTGCTTCGCACAACCTGTGTAGGAGGAAGAAACGGAAAAGGAAGAAGAAGACGAGGGTAGAATAGACATTTTATGTGATTTCTCTCTCCTCAACTAATTGAATATTGTATTTTAATGCTCGTGGTGTCCCGTGGTAAATTACTATGTTTTTTCAGTGTCATAGGACAAATTCACGTTTTCGAGATGACCCCTAACCAAGACCGCTTTCTTTGAGTGTCATGTAGCAAATTTTGCCAAAATTAAAAGATTAGCGATCAATTAATGATGATTAGCGATTAATTATCTTATTATTTAATCACTAATTAATTGTTGATTAGCGGCAAGTGTGACGGTCTCGCTCATTGAGCGTGCGAGACCAATGCTAATTTTATGCAAATAAAATTACATCAAGTATATTTCTGAGAAATAAAAAAAAAGTGAATGGTATATTTTAAATTTAATTCCTCGCGAGGTGCTCCCACACTGTGGAACTAGCAGTAAAACGGTAAAAGAAAAAGAAAGAAAAAAAAGAGTTGCGTCCGCGCCGACTGGTATTCGCAGCCATCCGTCCATCCGTGTCAGCGTCACTCATCACGCACGCACCCATCAAAAAGCTTCGGAGGACGACGCAAGGAATCATCAAAGCGAGACACCTTTTCTTTTGGCCTCCTTCCTCGCGAAAACCACCAAACCAAAACCCACACACCCACAGCTTTTCTCCCCCTCACTGCTTTGCTCTCCAGTCTCCACCTCCTCCTCCTCGCTGCCGCGCCGCCCATCCGCCAGCCATGGCGATGTCGTCGTCCCGCTCGGCGGCCGCGATCCGGGGGCGGCGGGTCGGGGCGCTGGCGAGGGCGAGGAGGCACGCGACGAGGGCGATGGCGTCGCTGTTCGGCCACGTCGAGCCGGCTTCCAAGGACCCCATCCTCGGCGTCACCGAGGCCTTCCTCGCCGACCCCTCCCCCGACAAAGTCAACGTCGGCGTCGTACGTCTCTCTCTCTCTCTCTCTCTCTCTCTCTCTCTCTCTCTCTCTCTCTCTCTCTCTCTCTCTCATTGGGATCCCCGATCTCGCTTGATTCTGACGGAGATGTTGGGCGGGGATGCTGAAACTGCAGGGCGCCTACCGGGACGACAACGGCAAGCCCGTCGTGCTCGAGTGCGTGCGCGAGGCCGAGCGCCGGATCGCCGGCAACCTCAACATGTCAGAACGAGATCCCTCCCTGTCTCTTCCAGTTAGCTTCAATGCTTGATTACTTGTGCATGTGCGGATCTGAGCTATACCTGCTGTGTTTTGTAGATATGAGCTTCAATAATCTTTGGTTCTTGATTCATTTTTAGTTCCATTCTGAAATAAAAGCATGCTGATACCGCTGGTTCGTTCTGAAGCGTGATCTATCACTAGTATTTTGTTTTCAAACATGATCTGGATCATGTGTAAAGCTTCCTTTTCCTTCTTCAATCACGCAATGTATGTACGCTTGATGCGAAAAAAAAAATTATTGTTGTCCCATCCTGCCGCGGTTTAGACCTCCTGTAGGCATTCTGTGGTAAAATGGTTTCCAGATGCTTCTTTATGCTCTTTTGTGGTGTGGAAGTAAACATCATTGCAGTACAGATTAGACACTCCAATCCTTTTTTTTTTTTGTCCTGAAAAAAATGATCAACTAAAGCATAATACTGTCTTGCAGTTGATGCTACACCTGTTTTAGTGCTGGACCGTTGGAGGTTGCCTTAAGTTCTAATTTCCACTAATTTTGTAAAACAGGGAGTACCTTCCAATGGGAGGAAGTATAAAGATGATTGAAGAGTCACTAAAGCTGGCATATGGTGAGGATTCTGATTTCATCAAAGATAAGAGGATTGCTGCGGTGCAGGCTCTTTCAGGCACAGGTGCATGCCGGCTCTTTGCCGATTTCCAGAGGCGTTTCTTGCCAAATTCACAGATCTACATACCTACACCTACATGGTCCAAGTGAGTTGGAATCCTGCTGAGACATGAATTGTTGTTGTTTTCTTTACATCTAAGAAAAATCTCTTAAAGAAAGAAATAGGAAGAGAAAACATAGATGTAGATGGTGTGTATTACTGTCTCTACATGATATGGTAGGCACCTGTGATTCTTGCTCTCCAATATTGTTAACATCATCAGTATCTAACATTCTAACCTCAGTGTGTGTAACTTCTCCAGTCATCATAACATTTGGAGGGATGCTCAAGTACCTCAAAGGACATTCACCTATTACCATCCAGAGTCAAGAGGGCTTGATTTCGCAGGACTGATGGATGATATTAAGGTGATTCGTTTCTCCAGTATTGTTAGAAAGATATCTTACTTTTAGGAATTATTACATTGTTGCTGGTATCTGTAGCAAGATCATGGATATTGTTTGAAATTAGATATTTGTAGAGTCAATACTGATTTAGCTTTCTTTCTCATTGATAAATGATAAGTTTTAGGTACACTTAGTTTTTCTCACTTTCTTATAGGTGCTTCTGACCTGTTGATGGGTTTCCTATAGCTCCTTTTAATTTATTTTTGTTCCTCTCATCTGCAGAACGCTCCAAATGGTTCATTCTTTTTGCTTCATGCTTGTGCCCATAATCCTACTGGAGTTGATCCTACAGAAGAACAATGGAGAGAGATATCCTACCAATTCAAGGTAGCAGAAGTGAAAAGGACTGGCTTTTTGTTGGTGTTATCACCAACGACAGATATCACATTTTCCTTATGTGTTTTGACAGATAAAGAATCATTTCCCATTCTTTGACATGGCATACCAAGGATTTGCCAGCGGTGATCCAGAGAGAGATGCTAAGGCAATCCGAATCTTCCTTGAAGATGGGCATCAAATTGGATGTGCTCAGTCATATGCAAAGAACATGGGACTGTATGGGCAAAGGGCAGGGTGCTTGAGGTATTCACTCGCCTAGTGTCATTTATGCTTGAAAGTTATATAGTTGTGCAATGCAGTGCTCCTATGCTCTGGATATAATTAAGAGGCACAAAATTTACATCATGTTAACTACTGTTGATTCAGGATTTGTACTGTTTTCTTCAGGGAGAGCATAGCAAAGCTACTCTCTGTATTGCATGACTAATTCCATGCATGGTCCTTGAAAATGAAACGTGTCTTAGAGCATTAGTTATTTGATTTCTCAAAAAAAAAAGGAATTTGCAAGTGGAACTCATATCTAGCGAGACTGAAATATTTTCCCTTCAGGAAGCCCTCCTGTTCCATTAAGGGGAAGAGTATATAACATCAAATAGAATTGAGTGATCCAATTTGTTATCTTTTCTTTAAACAATGATCATACTCTAATGATCATAAAACTGATTTTGTATTGCTGTTTCAGTATTCTGTGTGAGGATGAGATGCAAGCAGTTTCTGTTAAGAGCCAATTGCAACAGATTGCAAGGCCAATGTACAGCAACCCACCTGTTCATGGTGCACTGGTTGTCTCCATAATCCTTAATGATCCAGAATTAAAGAGTTTATGGTTGAAAGAGGTCAAGGTAAGAAGTCTTAACTACGTAAGTTCCTAATAGATTAATCTATGTGAAGCATGGAAAGGAGTTTAATATCGCCACTGGGTTGTCTCAGGGTATGGCTGATCGAATCATTGGAATGCGGAAGGCACTCCGGGAAAATCTCGAAGGCCTAGGTTCACCATTGTCATGGGATCACATCACCAATCAGGTAAAGAAATCATGAAAATGTACCATTTCTGAATATGAATTCAGTGACATGCAAATTATACCAGTTCAAAGTAGTTGCCAGCATCTCCAAGGCCCACAATAGATATAGTCAGGTTGTACCATAAACTTGTTGGAGTTTGGTTCATTGAGGTATTAGTTCATGTGGACTGATGTACTCTAGTGCTGGTCCTGTTGCTTGAACTTCCAGCATAATTGCAAACTAGTCAAAGTGGATTTTGTATCATAAATATTGTGTTCTAACTCGAGGCCTTGTCAAAGTGGTTGTCTTGAGTCCCAACTAATCAATTAGAAATGGATAATTGTACAATAGCTATTAAGTCTTGTCTGGGTATAGTTGATTCGGTAAGTAACAGTGTCAGTCAAAAACTAGTAAGAACCACTAGCTTCACTCGTTCTCCTTGTAAGCTTACAAGTACAGACATATCCATTTTGTACGATTGATATATGTTGGGCAAGAATTATGTGCAACTTAAATGTCCATTTACCCATACTTGGTTCAAATTTTCACCATGTATGCAACTTGATATCATTGTGTGTTATGTTCACTCAGTCTCTATGGAGATTGATATTCCACATTCAGCCTAATATTATTGTTAGTTATATGGTGAATATTAAAAACGTAAGCGTATTTGCAGATTGGAATGTTCTGCTACAGTGGGATGACACCTGAACAGGTGGATCGCTTAACCAATGAATACCATATTTACATGACCCGTAATGGCAGAATAAGGTACAATAACAGTACTTTTAGTTTTTCATGTTGCTGAATCTTTGTTTTAATCGAATAAAAATCTAACTTTCTGTCATTTCTTTCAGCATGGCTGGTGTAACAACAGGAAATGTGGCGTATTTGGCTAATGCTATTCATGAGGTCACTAAAACGAAATGAAGCTACTTCCTCTTCCCTCTTCGGCCAATGAAATGAGGCTTGCAAGCGGCGGCGTTTTTTTTTTGGGGGGTGGTCTATTGACCTTTAAGATGGTTGTACTAGAGAAATAATCCAGTGAACATGCTGGTGTTTCTCCAACTTCGGATTTTCCCTGTATGGAGGAGAGAACTAGAAACCTACCCAATTTTGAGAGCTATAGATGCCGATCCTGTTATTTCAATCGTCAGATGTTATGCCTGTGGCAGCCTGGCAGGTCACCTCAGAAACAGAGATATGTGAAAGAGAATAAATGCAAATGAGCTGAGCATTTTGACAAGTCATGTGTGGCCCTGCCGACCGACCATGAGAATTTAGATAAAATTTGCTGCTTTTTTTGTATGTGATATCAAGACGAGGCAGGCGTATTCTGCTGAATATTTTTTGGTAAACGTAGCATGAGAGTTTAGCATGTAGACTCGCAGGAATAAGCCGTCTCAGCGAAGAACATTTCATATTGATTCGTGCTTTTGGGCTCTTTCATACTGATTCTTGTAACTGAGAAAAACATGCAAGATGCAATGTAATTTTCTCGAGAACATATTGTAGGATGGGTAGCATACTGATTTGCACTGTACAGTGCATACGCCAACACGACCAGAAATGACCGATCTACCTAGCAGTTAGAGATTGGATCGTGAGGCATTTGCAACACCAGCAAACTCCTTGCAGATTCCAAGTAAAACTACATCCAGACTATACACGTTTTTGTACAATTGTCATCCTTTTGTTTGTGGTTCTCCCCCCTGATGTACAATTGTGATCATCTGGGACCAGATAGCTCAATTGGCTCTATTATGAAGGATGATGAATCATGAGGATCCTCATGCCTTACTGAGAAACTGCAAGATCCTCCATAGGGAGGCACTTCTCTATTCAAGTCGATGCCGTTCTCTGGCAGGGTGACATTAGCTTCAAGGGCATTAAGGACTTCCGACATCTTGGGACGCAAAATGGGATTGGTCTGAGTGCATTGCAGAATTACGTCAACAGAACACTCCAACTCGGCGAAATCAAATGAATATTTCAGATCCCTGTCAACCAGTTTATCCAGTTTATTTTCTTCCTTGACTTCTCTAACCTGCAGAGAATTAAGATTAGGTGGTAAGAAAGTATACAAGGATATGGGCATCAAATGACAGTAGTTAGGTAATTAGATAAAGATTGAACTAAAAGGAGATACCCAATCTAGAATCATTCCCTTCTGAGATTGCGCGTGCCCATTGCTCAAGGTTTTAGGCCCAGTGATCAGTTCCAACAAGAGAATACCAAACCCATAAACATCGGTCTTTTCTGAAGACTGTCCTGTTGATAAATACTCTGGAGCAATATGTCCAATAGTGCCCCTAACTGCAGTAGTAACATGTGATTCTTGTCGGTCAAGAAGTTTTGCCAATCCAAAATCCCCAACAATTGCTTCAAAACTTTCATCAAGCAAAATGTTAGCTGCTTTAACATCCCTGTGAATGATTTTAGGATTGCATTGTTCGTGAAGATACAGCAGTCCCCTGGCTGCCCCAACAGCAATCCGCATACGCTTGCTCCAATCAAGAGATGGTTTTCCATGATGGTAATCTACAAATTAACTTTGTGTTAGTAAGAGAGTGAAATGGAAAAGAAATGATAGGAGAATGATGCAAAATCAACCAACACAGGATCACAACACACATCTTTGTAAGGAAGCTATCATAGTTTTACATAATCATCATTTTAGCTTTTGGATCAACAACAGTCTACCTTCAATAAGAACTACAACTGGAAACTGGCCCAGCTATATTAAAACATAAAATCAAAATTTGTTTTGGACGATTGTAATTACCTCTCAAGCGATCAGCAACACTGCCATTTGGCATATATGGATATACAAGCAACCTTTCTTTTGAGGTCATGCAGAATCCATATAACCGCAAAAGGTTCCTGTGCACAGCTAGACCAATCAACTCCACTTCTGTCTGAAATTGAACTTCACCAGTAATATCAGGATCTTTTAGTCTCTTTACAGCCACCAAAGCTCCATTTCTCAGACAGCCTTTATAAACAACACCAAAGCCACCTTGACCTAATATGTTCTTTGAGTTGAAATTGTCAGTTGCACTCTGAAGCTCGTGAAATGAGAAGTGCTTTAGATGGCCCAATTCAATTTCAAGATCTTGGTCTAGAAGTAACAAAAGAAAAGAATGTTTATCAGATGCTATATATTCTGAACTCTGCAATAAGAGAGTAGATGCTTAACCCTTTGAAAATTACCAGCAGAAGCAAAAGGCAAGCGCCATCTGCAATATTTTAGCCAACAAATGACAAACAGAACAAATACTGTGGCACAGATGATGCTTAATGAAATTGCCAGAGCTAGTTGATGATGGCTGTTTGTTTTTTTCGACGGGCTAGAAATTGTTGATTCTGCAAAGGAAGGCAAATTAGGTCCAACAGATAAATATGCAAGTATATGACATCAGGTAAACAATTACCATTAGTTAATACTGTGAGATCTTTGCAACCATGCATAATTGATGAATTGCAAAGGAACCTGTTTCCTGCAATACTGGAAATCAGAGGAAAGTGATCATCAGGAGGGTATTAAAACTGATGAGAAGGAATTATGTGCATATGCTTTGGGAAGGAATTATGTGCCTACGCTTAGTTTAGCATAAGAACACAGAAAATATGCAGGTGCCAAACACTTTGGTTAAGCAAATGGAAGGAAATAAGCAGAGCTTATCGTACGCACTCTCACCAACTTACCTGTAGTCATGTGCATAGATTTTTGGAACCGGGCCGCTCAAATTATTGGATGATAAATCACTGAAACAATTTTCCCATGTTGGGTAAAAATCAATAATTACGTTTATACACAACATTTATAACAGAAGAGAGAATATAAAGTGGTGAAAAGAGACATACAGGAATGTGAGACCTGGAAGCTTTGCGACATCTTCAGGGATCTGTCCAGACAAGTTGTTCTTATCTAGGCGCCTGAAGGATTCACAAACAGAAGTCATATTTTGGGACAAGCAAAATATGTGGCACAAAATTTGAAGCAATATTTTGGCATCTGCTCACAGATAGTTTAATTCAGTCAGCCGCCCTAGAGAACTTGGGATTTCACCAACAAACTGGTTACCAGAAAGATCAAGAGCTTTCAGATTGGTCAACTTCCCAATCTCTGGAGGAATGCCACCTGATATCATGTTATTCTGTAGTAACCTGAATGAAGACAATAAAAATGTTGAGTAATCAAGTAATGGTATTTTGTTTCATTTTATGAGGACAGACAGATGTCAAGCAAACAAGTTCATGGGAATCAGTATGAATACACGATCAACTTAAGTATATGACACTGCAAGATGTAATATGCTCATGTCCTTACAAATAGGATGAAGACAATCAAATGTTGGACAAACCATACTCATAAACATTTCAATGTTATATTCAAATATGAATCAAATGAATATTCTATAGTGGTCACATAGTAATAGCCTTCAATCCACATATGCAGCACAGTTGATCATTCTGATTTGTAGGGTTAGCCAAAAGAAACATGAATCTCTCTACAGATTAAGATACATTTCTACTAAAGCAGTCAGTTAAGGTGACAATATACTTCCAGACTATTTATATACTAAAAATAATAATTGCTATAGAATCTGCATATAATTTTCACGTTTGGGTCTGTAGACAAACTTTGGTTATGAATTCTAGTGCTGCAAGGTTCAGAAAAATGTTTATAGAACAGAAAATGCACTAATTAGTGAGTCATGATTATCTCAACTCTTTATATGGATCTATTTCAATGATACTTAGACCAAACAAGGTGAGCCGCACATTCATTATTACCAGGCCTTGAATCCTGAGAATGTCATTTATTATAACTAATAGGAAGTGTGACTTGCTCACATGAAAATGGTGTTCCAATGCTAGCATTGGAAATGCTTCAGTTGTACGAAAAGTGTCATTTGCCCACATGAAGGTCTATAAAAAATATTAAAAATGGAGATGCCATGGCATGGCATCTGTCCCCCACTCTTTTCAGATGAAGAAAATGAAATTTTATTCAGAGGTGCCATGCTATGTCAGCTGTCATCTCTCAAGTGATGTATTTTACACATCTGTCTTGGCCTGGCTCTGGAGAGTAAATGTTCAGTGTTCACGGACCCTACATGGAGTTCTCCTAAGTTCAACTACAAGAGACATAGCCCATAGGGTAATGCCCTCACTTTCCAGCTCTTTAACTATGGAGATATCAATCGATCAATCACCAATCGGATGGTACCAAATCCAAAACAACAGTTGGGGAAAACTGATCCTACCAACCCAGCTCAACTAATTTTGCAGTGCTACGACTATGAGACAATCCGTGCTCACTAATAAATGCATTAATGGAACAAGAACAAAACCTTTGCATTTGATAAGGTTCGAATGAATTCGTTCAAGAACCCCTTACATTGTCTGCAGGTGGCTGAGGTTCCCGATGCTCGGCGACAGCGTCCCGGCCAATCCGTTGTTCGCCATCTGCCTGCAGCAGCACAGCAATCCAACCAAAACCGCCATAATCAACACCACCACCACGAGCAGTAGCAGCAGCAATAACAAAATCCCACGAACGAATCAGGAGAGGGGAATCCTCACAGCGAGACGACGAATCCGTCGGGGGAGCAGGCGACCATGGACCAGGTGCACGGGTCGACGGAGTTGATGTCCCACCCTCCCATCACCCCCTTCTCGTCCCGCATCCTGCTCTTCACCGCCATCAGCGCCGCCACTGCAAAAACCCCCCACATCATATCAAAACCCTAACCCACCTAGGGTTCCCGTTCCCCAACCAAAACCCACGCTACCCAACCCACGCACCTTCGTAGTTGAGCCCCTTGGGCGACAGCGGCGGGTCCCCGGCGGCGGCGACGGCCCACGCGGCGACCACCACCGCCGCCGCCACGGCGAGGGCGCGGGGCCCCGCCATGAGAGGAGTCCGACGGCGACGCCGGGGAGGGCGAGGAGGAGGCCGCGCGGGCGCAGCGCAGCAGCGGCGGCGGAGGCGGAGGCGGTGGCTTGAGGTGGGCTACGCTGCAGCAGGAGCTCGGGCTTGGCGGCCATGGGCGCCTGCGCGAGTATAATACTGCCACTGTATCGAGCTAAGCGACGGGGGTGCTTAGCTTAGGCGGGGGGTGTGATTAGATTAGAGTTAAGATTAAATTAGCGCAATTTGGTTGGGAATTGGGCATCTTAATTACGAAAGAGATCGCTAATTGGGCCTTAATTACGTTTATCGCGAGTGGAGGCGGGTGGC